ATCATTTTAAGATTATAGAAATTTCCCATAGGGCTCACTGTTCCAAAACCCACAAATGCCAGTGAAAACACTACAAATTAGAGGGTTGTGATTTCTTACTCGTTTGCTGAACAACCTGTTGCAGCGGGAGACAATGGAGATGAGTGGAGATTGTTTGAACCCAGAGTGAGATTAGGTCGGGATGAATGGGGTTTCAGCAGCCACGTCCTTCCGCCGTGTGCCCTGAATCTCCAGCGACCGAATCTCCTTACTCTGACTCGATTCATCAATTCTTGGTGCTTCTTTAATCTCTTTCTTATCGAGATTAGCTTCTAAGTTCACCGGCTATTCATGAGTCTTTTTCGATATCATACTCCAAGAATACTCAGAAAAGAGAACCGTTGGAAAGAGAGGCGGTGATCAGCGCAGCAACGGCGCCATCAATAAAATTTGAACTTATAGGCAGAGAACCGAGCAGTTAGGAGAGCCATGGGGAGCGTGAGGAAGGCGGCAACGGTTCATCGACAATTAACGGACTATAAAGTTTTTGCAGAGAGCCGTTAGGAAAGAATATTCGGCTGTGAGGATGACAGAAGGATCCGTAGGGGTAGGCAGTGGGCAGCGTGGGGAAGGGTCAACATAATTCTGTTTCAGCTGCGTATTTGACCTCCCTGTACGATCTCCCGTCGGGCCAAGCTTTTCCCGCCCTCGTTTGCATTGCAGGGGTTTCACGATAAGCTTCGCCTTCATTTGTAATTTTCATGTTTGGAATTGTACTCTGTTCTTTTTTTCTGTGTTTTTTTTTAAATAAAAAATCTTGAAAACTCCGTTGTTTTCATCACATTTTTATTTTGATAAAAAATAGTTCCACATAACTCTGTTTCGGGACTGAAGAAAATCTCCTAAAAAATAGTTTCAAAAAGCTTGCCCAACATGTCTTGTTTTTAAAAATAGAAAACAATTTTGAAAAACAAATTCAAACAACAAATGCAAAACAGGAGGGTATTTGTGTTCCTTTTTTATGGTTGTACAAAATATGATGCACACGAGTTTTCAATTTGAGGGGTCAAATTACAAAGAATTAAAGATTGAAAAACAAAATGCAAGAACTTTTGGGAAAGTCATAATAGACTTTGTATTTTATTTAATTTACACAAAATTCTTTTCTAATATAAAAATTGAATCAAGATATATTGTATTTCATAATTTGTTATACCAAAATAATCAGTCCATTAAAATTTATTTTAAAAAATACAATCCTTTTCTATTTTTATAAATTTGCATAAAACACTCTCTTAATATGAAAATTAAAATAAAATATATTCTATTTGAATATTTTCTTACTTGTTTTAGATTCAACATTTATAGTAAGTATTTTTATATTTATTTCATTCTTTTTGTTAAGTTTACTTTATCTGTCTTACAAATTTTTAAATAATATTTTTTCATAGCGATTATTTATTTTATTAAAATAATTACAATCAAGTTAAAAAATTAATAATTTTTTAAAAATAACAAAATATAAAAGAAAATTAAATTTTTATTTATCTATTTTGATCAGGAAATCTTCTTTTTTATATATTAATCTCTATATTAAATAAATTTTAATTAATTTTTTAGTCAAGTTATTAGAATTTAACACTATTACTTATAAAAAATATCACAAATATTCAAAAAAATTTAAAGTACAACAAAATTTGGTTCAATTTTTATAATATGAAAAAATTTTGTAAATCTTAAAAAATATCACAATAAAATTTTATACTTAAAACCCAAACTTTTGGAGCATCAATTACCTGACAGACTAGGTGTACATCAGTCATCTAAAGGCTCATTTGATAGCCCGAATAGTTAGAATGCGTTTTAATAAAATATTTTTATAGTGCGTTTCTTATTAGACTGCATTTTAATAAAATATTTTTAGAATACATTTTCATAAAATATTTTTAAAATGTGTTTTAATAAAATATTTTTAAAAGTATCCAAATATCTTTTAAATACTTTCAAAAATATTTTATTAACATTTGGATACTTTTAAAAAGATTTTATCAAAACACTCTCTAAAAAATATGTTATTCAAACGTAATCTCACATAACCTAGGAAGACGTTGGGCTTGCTTCAATTTCTTTTTGCTCAGTCTTCCTTTTCAAACCCCCACTTTTTGTTTCTCGTCAATTATTATATTCCATGAAATCAAAAATTCCCAAGAAAAAACTATTAGATATGCTCAATCCATCTGCTCCATCCACCAGCTAACCCATAAAGAAACTGTCTAGAAGCGTACAAGGTACTTGCAATTTTTAGGATTTTGTATCAGAATTTTGTAACTTTCAATTCCGGCAGGAAACTTTTTTCTATTCTTTTGTTTAAAAGGCAGAAGGAGAAAGCAAAAAGAAAAACTTACCAATTTAAAATTTTATCATCTAACAGGGTCCAAGCTAAACTAATTGCAAGGTCTATTAGGTTCTGTTTTGTTGAATATCACCCGTACCTACCATTTTTTATTCTGGGTGGGATCTGAAGATAATGTGAAAGTGAAGTCTCCATCTAAGAGAGCAACCTGGAACCTCACTTTATGTGGTCTAGTCAACCCCGTTGATGCCTATAAAACCGTTCACGAAACAATTATTAACCTATGTTTAATCATCTATATTCTCCCAAAATCCCATATCAATAAGACCATTTTGACCATTTGCTTCTGCTAATCTGGGAAGTCCTTGTCACAAGAAATGAAGGTATGGAGTTCACAATAGTTCAATGCCCATGTATTTGTTTAAGTAGGTTATTGTTTGCATTCTAGCTTCTAACTTAAATTAATGGGTGTTTTTGGGGGCAGCAAAAGGTGGTGATCAGGTCAGCAATGGCGACAACAAGAAGAGAACCAAAGCCCTGAAGACAGCCGTTGGCGCACCAGGTACTCAGACCTATTTAGTTTGTTTTCAGCAGTCTGTTTTCAAAAACTGAAAATCTGGAAAACACCGTTCTTTTCATATAGTTTCAAAGTTGAGCCAAAACAGCCTTTATTTTCTGAAATGGATCATGTTTCCTGAAAATTCTTCCAAAACCATTTTTGGAAAAAAAGAAAAAATAAACACTTGCCAAACGGGTATTCTAGTTTTCAATAACAGAAAACAATGGAGCTCCAAAGCCGGAACATGATGAACCTAAGGATGAACTTTCTTGGTCCTGCAGGTGTTGAATCAGTGGTTTTGGAAGGCACCGGCATGAACCAGATAGCACTCACCGGACACAACCTTGATGCAGTTAACTTGACTGTTCGTTTGAGGAAGAAGCTTGGGTTTGCCGAACTGATGAGCGTCATCCCTATTACAGGTGAAGGCAGGAATACAGAAGAAGCTGTCACGAGCAATCCAATAGTGCAGCCAACGGTCTGGCAAACATATCATAGTGGGGTGCCGCACTTCCATGTTTTTGAGAACATGCACAGTCAAGACAATTGTAGCATATTGTGAGAAGTAGCAGTCATGGTTAGAGAGTCAAGTTGTCGCAGAACCGGCAGGGGAGAGTTCTGTGAAATAGAATTTTTTGCATATCTATATTTTGATAGATAGCAGAAGTAGAATTTCGAGGTCTAATTTACAAATTCAGAATCTCCCCCAGCCCTCTTAATTGTATTTGTTTGCCAGAGTGAACTGCTACTCCAAGAAATCAATAAAAAACAGAGTTTGGATTTGTTTTCTGTTTTCTCTGTACTTGGTTTAGAGTTTCAAAATGGAAAACTCCCTTATTCTTGAAAAGTTCGTTTTATTGTTTTCATTTTTTATACAAAAAACATTTGATAATTTCAAAAAATGACTGCGCTTTTCAGAAACAATCTGTCAAACGGTTTTCTGTTTTTAAAAAATAACAAATGGGAAATGTCAAACTCAAAGCTCTTTTACGTATTTAAGCTTGCAGTTGTTGATGGGGAAAAAACATGACAGCAAGTTTATTTTAGAGGTTGTAGTTGATGGGAAAAAAGTAATGAGCCCTAAAGCCAGGCTCCTACAAAAAAATACCATTGAATGATACTAAAATGAAAGCTGACAAGAAATATAATAATCATCTTCTTACAGCATGTTGAAGATATTTGCACTCTACAAATCATGGCACTCCCCTTCAAATGGCTAATTGGAACTTCTAATCAATAATGGCAGCACTGTCAGAATAAAAAGAAGGAAAGGAAAAGACCAATGGCGAAAATGTCCTACACTAAAATACATAAATGAAGCCTAGCATATGAAGGGAATTATAAAGTCAACTAGGCACTTTATCTGCCTATTATTTCCCAGATCCTCGTATTACAAATGGCAAATAATACAAAACAGCGAGCCGGGTAACCTCAGCAGAACTAATCTTGCTTGGTTAGAAAGAGCTCTGTACACTGCTTTACAGTATCCTCAGGGCTGGTAACTGAGAATTAAATTTAATAAGAAAAAAGAACAAGTCAACAAAAATTGGAACTCTACCACCCCAACTTTGCTTAGCGTGTAAAGCAGGTTCTTTCTGTTTTATGTAAAAAATTTCAGGAATATTGCCAACAAATATTTTAATATCACTTCCTTTGGTAATGGGCCCATTTTCTTTTGTAAGAGCCCATTTCTAACAGACGAACTAGATGCTGCTAATTCGAAGGAGCTTCCTTTCCAAATGACAATATGTTAAGAATGCATTTGTTTCCCAATATGCCGAGATAAATAGAAAATTCTTATGCTTGGTTTAAAAAAAAATGGGTTTACAGGAAAGTAAGTTTGAGGAAAGTGAGTTTGAGGAAGTAAGTCTAGAAAATGTAGATTTGTTATTTAATTACACAAAATGGTGAAATTAGATTATAAATAAAATATTCAATTTATGATTTAAATTTTTTTGGTAACCCTTCTACTGCATTTAATTTTTTCCTTTTTTTTTTTGCTTTGTTTTTTTTTTTTTTTTTTTTGGGGGGGGGGGGGGGGGGGGGGGCTGCAAAAGGGTGGGTTTGGCTAAACCTCATGATAGCAAAGTCAGGGGTTGGCACACAAGGTTAAGGGGTGGGACATAATTGTGAAATAAAGCTGAAATACAGAGCAGACCTGTGTGACCACTTGTTTCTCTCCGATTCGTATATCTCATGGTCATTTCCTCCCTACGCAAACAAACAAACAAACGAATTCTTCCTTTAGTCCCACCAAAGTATCTGGCAATTAGTCTCAACAAAAGGGGTTTTATCATAATTCAGTTTAATACATTACCAGAGGGAAAATAATAAGCATATAGAAAAATAGAAAGCATGAGAGAGGATAAGTGGATAACCTCACTGCATACAGAATCTAAACACATTACCTTATAAGTTTTGTCACCAAAGAAGTGGATTTCCTGAAAATCATCCAGGTATCTCAAGCAGTAAGTCTTGTCCCAGCCTTGAGGGAAAACCTGTTGCAACATTCATGCGTTCAACCCAAGTTTCCCTAAGATGATCTTCATATTTAACATCTAAAGAATCACGAAATCACAACGCAACAAAAATTTCGCTCACATCAAAGCTTATTTGTCCTCCTATGGAAATGGTGAGGTTAAGGTGGGCAAATTTCTCACGAAGCACAGACACCATCTTGGGGCGTATGTTGTGAACCTGACATATTTTTCCGCTAAGTAATTCTTTGAGAGCTTCAACAAAGAGTTTCTATAGAGAACCAATTTGGGAACAATATAACAAGTCAAGATATTTTACCTTGTCATACTTCTCAAACTCATCCCTTTCTTCCTGGCTGCAGTTTCGCCCAATTGGTGATATATTGAGCATCCCACTTCGGAACTCTATAAATGTTCCTCTAAAGGAAAAGTTGAGAAAAATAGGTTTTAGATGCTTGACAAGACTGCGTAAAACCAACCCATGCATCCAATCCACTAACCTTTTAATTGGAATATCCAAGTCAGCAATGTAATGCAGTGTATAATTAATAAATTCCTGCAGAAAATGTGAAAATTGTCAGATTGATATGCTAATAATCTGCTTGTACCCACAAATGCCCTGGAAGCACAGACCAAAAGCTTACCATCCAACATTACAGGTCTATAACCCCCATTAACTTTTCATACCTATACGGAGCTTAAAAAAATAATAGATAAAAAAAACAAACCTTGCCTAAATTCTTAACCACAAAATTTATGAACACACAGTACCAGTAATCTTCTTAACCATCACCAGTTTCCAAATTATACCTTCCCTTTGACTTCTAGCAACTTACTAAAAGAACAAACCCCATACTTAAGGATTAAAGATGCCAACCGAATATAATAAACATTAGTGTTGAACTAAGGACCTTACCTTGAGTTTTTCCTCTCCAAGGTATGACTTCAAGCTCTGCAGAGAATACATATCCAGGACATAATGAGGTTAAAAACAGAAGAGAAAAGCTCAGAGAGTCCAAGTGTACGAATACAATGGGAAGCACCAATAAACTTTTGCCAAACATATTCAAACTACTCAAAATCCATTTATCAAGAACTTTAAGCACTTCATAGGATTACTTGTCAGATCAGCTGGTAGAATTTTGAAAATAATTTCAAGCATAAAAAAATTATCAAATGTATATCACATATTTATACTGCTTTCTTTTTTTCTTTCTTCTAAGACCATTTATCATCTAATCACTAGTTGTAATTTGTAAATTACTTATTTCAGAATTTAAGGGATTCTACCCCTCGTGTGTCTGCAGAGTTGCATGTTCAATATGTCATATAACTATGTTGAAATTAACCAAAGTCTTGGCTGTTTATAAGAACACTGTCAATCCTTGCCATCATATTTATAAAAATAAATTCTGAATCTTATACTTGTGGAAGAAAATAGTGGTTTAGAAATTTAGGCAATACCTGGGTCCCAATGAGCTTGCCATCCTTATGGCCACAAGCCCATTTTCAGAAAATACATAATCATAGTCATTTATAACTGCATGTATAGGAAACATAAAAATGAGCAGGAAGCTACAGTGTTACTTCTCAAAAAAGAATGCAGATAGGATAATGGAGCAGTATACCCAGAATAATAGAACTTAAAGAATATGGTGCAATGAAGTTATATTGGTCAAATCATCTAAAAATTAGAGAGAACAAACATGTTCTAGATGGAGTTTTCTAAATTTTTTAAATACATTAACAAATTTGAGTCCTCCCCATTTGCATGGCAATCTATAAATTTATTTAAATAATTCCAGCCACATGTTCTTTTCACTGACAAGTAAGACTTCTACATTTAAATGAAGCCTGCGCTGGATTCAGTTCATGCTTTCCTTTAGAGGAATGAAAAAGTCTTGACAAGCCTGTGAAAGCATGGTTCACCCAGAATTTGTAAATCCATGCCTCCATTCCTTATGGACAGTGAGGATCAAAACCTATCAGCCAAGCCTAGTTGAGCATGCACTGAAGAGAGATGTTCAGATAAATATCGTGTAGAAAACTGCAGTTACATATATGAATCTCTAGGTTAGTTTTTATATTCTAGTTTCCAAGGTGAATGGTAATTCTAATGTCAATAAGAATGAAAATCACAAGAATCTGACACCTGAAACTTATCCACCTAACATCTGTAGCCAATTTTATGTCTAGTCAGCAAGAGACATGACTCATGGGATAAAAGCATAAAACCAATGTTCCATAATTTCAATTTAAATTCCAAAAATTACATATAATCCTTATTGAATCAGGCCCTGGGTTACAAGGCATATCATAAAAAGTCAAATAATTTAAAGGTAATCAATAGAAACAAATCACCAACATAATCTTTCACGTGAGTTCCTAATTCTACTTAAGCCTAGTTAAAACATTATAATCTGTTGACACTTCATTTAATCTATGAGATGTATTTCCTAATAACAAAAGATCAAAGAACAAACTTTGCAAAACTATCAGAGTCAGAATGAAAAGTAAATTGCATCTTATTCTAGTAAAATTGTGATGCAAAATTTGCGCACATAAAATGATCAGGAGCCTGTGGACATGAAGCAGACACTGAACCTTCAAATTACAAGCTTTTATCACTAACCTGACTTCCCAAGCTGCTCCGATATCTTAACAAGGTCCGACCCTCCAACAACACCAACTGTAACAACCTGCAGTAAGAGCAAACTGTAAAGCCAGAACACTGCCTAAAGCAACTATCTTATAGAATCCTATTATCCTGGGAGTAGTCCCCCAACAAGCAGGTAATAGCAGAATAATCGAGTAAGTACCTTTCGAAGTTCCTGCATAAACTTCAGCATCTCGGGAGTGACCACCTGATGTTGGAAATGCAGGCGTTCAATTAGGGAGAATTTCAATCAAATTTTCAACATTGATCCGACACATAATAACAATCCCAAATTCAAATAATAAACTTCCAATACCTAAGTTTATATGCCATGGAAAGCTGAAAATTATAAGAAAAAACAGAAATTTCGAACTGGAAAGAAACTCGAATCCGATCAAACAGAAAAACAAAGTAAGTAGAAGTAAAATCAGCACCTTTCTAGGAGCTGTGAGAGTACCGTCGACATCGAACAAAGCAATTAATCCAGGCTTCCTTGCAGCCATTGAAGTGCCACAAATCCTCTGCAATTAACGCTACAAGCTCGGAAAGCTCGAACTGGTGGCAGAAACAGAAAATCAACAAACGAAAAACCATAATTTTACCGCGAGAAAGCTTGATCGCAAGAAGCTGGCGAATGCGGACTACAATGCAAGTGCAGACGCCGATGCAGATCTGTAAGGGAGGAACGTAGTCAAGTTCCTTCAACGACTGCGATCATATATATATATATATATATTATATAGGTATACATATATACGTGTATTTACGTATGTATGTATATATTTTTGGGTGTTTGGGATGTGGATCTGGTGATCTATAGACTCGCGCACACGGTGACGGATGAAGCTGTTGTTTTCATTGGAAGCGAGAGGCTAAGTTCTAGAGCGACGCGGCCCCAGGGGTGGTACGGATTTGAAGACCTGATTGGTCCACGTTTCGATCCACCGACCGATAAAAGGAATTTTCTGGAGCTGAGAGCATCCGTACCGTTCGATCTGCATTTTGTGATATCGCAAGCATGGAGTCACGTGGCTCATACGCTGTCGTATTGTTTCTGATATGTTTTAGTTCTGGGAAATCGGAACAATTTCACGTTGACACTTCATTAGAGGCTCTGCCATAAAAAAAAAAAGCCAAAAAAAAAAACGTTGTATTAAAAGGTGGGTTTTAAAAAAAGATTTATGTGATTTTTTTTACGAGTCAGCGAATAATATTTATATTTTTTGATAAATGAAAATTTCTTACCTAAATCCTTATAATTCTAGACAATATAACATTTTGAAATCAAACACTCTCAAAATTTTTAATAATCAGTTTTAAAAAACTAATTATTTATTAAATTTCATTCTATGTGATTAGGGGTGTATAAAACCAAACTAATTAACCAAATCAAACCAAAATTTAAAATTTGATTTGTTTTTTTTTTTAATTTAGTTTTGTTTGGTTTAGAAAAATAATTCAAAATTATGGTTTGGTTTGGTTTAAAACCAAACCAAACCATTTTAAATCAAAAAGCAAAATTTTGAAATTTCTTTATAAAATATATTAATATATACACACACCAACATGTAATTATAGAAATATATATTTATGTATATACATATATACATACATATACTTATATATGTATGTACACACACACGCACACATAGATGTACAAACATGCATATATATATATAAAAATTTTATCTACTCATACAAATATAAATTTTTTATACTCAAACAAACATAAATATAAATTCACGGTACATTCTCGATTCCGGTTCACGATTCATTTTCTATTCCGGTTCTGCTTAAAAAAAATTAAACCATAACTGGACCACGAACCTTCACAGGTTAGAATTGGATTGGACCGGATATTGCCAGTCTAGTTCAATCCAATTTTTTCCTAGTCCGGTTCGGGCCGGTTCACAGTCCGAACCGAAATCATGAACAGGTTTACGTGTACCCGTATACATATATATTTTTATATTTACATAAATATATATACACACACACACACATGAATATATACATATATATGTTATGTATGTGTGTGTATATATATATGTATGTATATACAAATATATATACATATACACACATACATATACATGCATATACATGTATAATTAATAATAAAAATTAAATAAATAATTTATTTAAATATTTTTAATTAATAAAAAATTAAACTTAAAACCAAACTAAATTAAACCAAACCAAAGTGAACCAAAATTTTAGGTTTGGTTTGGTTTGGTTTATAATTAAATTGGTTTGGTTTGGTTTGGTTTGGTTTTAAAAGTATTAAAATCCAAAAACTAAAAAACCAAACCAAAATATCAAAAACCAAATCAAAATTATGGTTTGCACACCTCTGTACATGGCTTCACAATTCAAAAATAAAGGGATAAAAATTATTTAATTAATTTAATATTTTTCTTAGATTTTATTTCTATAAAACTCTTAAATTAATGTTGATTATTTAATGATGTCATTCTGACCATGAAAATTATCAATAAGTGGTGAATTTAATATATTTTCAAATAAATTTTGTGTTTATTATTATATTTCTTATTAATATAAAAAAGTTTGATGACCGATATTAATTCAAAATGTTAAAAATTAAACAAATTAACATCTTTAAATTATTAGATTCACTTTTAATTTTTAATTTAAAAGCCACATGCAGGAATTGAAAATATTAAAATACCAATATCCCTTAACAACTTTTACCCGCTTGTATATCTTTTATAATCTTAAACTTGTGAATATGTAAATCTCACTGCTGCATTTGAGATCCTAAGAGTTATGCTATAGCTCTAATTTTTTAATTTTTTTGTATAGAATAGCTTTGTAATTAAACATCTAAGCATATAGGACAAGCAACAATGGAATCTCGCACCAACTAACAATGATGTCCTTTACTGTTGCAACCATGAAAGTGGTTTGAACGAAGGAAGCTGGCCAGCTGCTTGGGCCACCTCCACAATTGTTTTAAAGAAGATGGAGAAACTTCACATCTTGGAAGATAGTAAATTAGGAAACTTCAAACCAGATAAACAATCTCTCTAAATTATTGGGTTCTCAAATACACATGTGCTGACAAACCAACAACCCAGTTAATGATATCCGGATCCATAAAAGAGATCCGGACATGATACGGACCGTTTACCTCTCATTGAACCAGAGTTTGGTCACAGGGATGACACTTCATTTTGCAGGAAAAAGAAGCCGGAAGGGCCATTGTTGGGCAAGAGGGCCAGCCGCACAGCATTTTCAGCACCTTCCTCAACGGTAAGGATGCCGGTTCTGCAGTTCATATCTGTTTTGACATAGCCAGGACAAAGAGAGTTCACTATGAACCTGGGGTACCTCTTGGCTAGTATCTTGGTGTAGGCATTGAGGGCTGCTTTGCCCAGGACATAAGCAGAATGTTTAGAAGGCCAGTTTTTGGCTACTAATTCACCCTCCTTGAAGTCCTTCATAAACTCCTTCAGCACTTCCTCCACCCTTTCCTCGGTGAGGCTTTCATCGTCGAGGAGCACTCCTTGGGCCCATTCATTCCGTACAAACTAAAAAAACAGACACTAGTACTTCATGGTTGAAAACTTTAACATAGAATGGTTCATATCCCAAATTTTATCTTAACTAACATGTCTTTATTAGCTTGTTTGAATTGAGTTACTTGAAAACAAAAAAATAAAGAATTTTTTTCCCCTAAAATTTAACAAGAGAAATCAGTGGAAGATGAAAGAAATGAAAGGAGAATTCCAAACCCATGCAGCCCTCATTCTGAATGCCATCAAATTGAAGAGATAGTGAGAAAAAAATTGCTCTTTTACTAAAATTAGTACTACAAAATTATCCAACTAAATATAGAAAACCAAAGCTTAAGTGAGAATCATGTTCTGACTAGAACGAAGAGAAATTATAATCTTTCCTTCGTTCTTCACTGAAAGAAGACAAGTCCTAAATTCCCACTTGTAACATTTGTGTTTCCATTTGTTGTTTCAACAGAGGAATGTTATCAAACAAGTTTCTGTGTTTCAAATCCTACTACAAACAAAAGACAGGCAACATTACCAAACACAACCCAAGTTTTCGATTTCCGTACCTTTAATTTCCCCAAAATGGATGACACGTTAACGATCCTTGCTGAATCGGATAAGTGGAGGAATGGGACAAGTGCTTCGACCATTCTTTTTGCTCCGTGGTAGTTTATTTGTAAGCACTCTTCAGCCAAGCTGTCTGTCTGGATCATTAGAGACTGTGCTTCACTCCACTCCATTTTTTGTTCCTTGCTATGTCAAGGTAGATAACTCATTCATCCCACTTAAGCATTAACAAACTTTTTCAGATTTAATCACCATTAGAGAGGATTCTTAGCCCCTATCAGGTGTTTGCCTTCTCAAAAAGCTATGCCTTTTAAGGGCTTTTCTGTAAGAAACTAGCTGCTATTTTTTTTTATCTCATAGCTGATTTGTTTGAATTAGAAGGCTTCGTCTATCAAAAGAATAGAAATGAATTTGCTCTAATTTATGAAAAATCCCTATAAGAAAGTTCCTTTCTTTTAGCCAAATCAAATACCGTGTCAGAAAATTTTACTGCATCTAGTACAACGTACCCCAAATTATCTAATGCGTAACTGCTAAACATCATTTACTTTTAAGGACTTGCGCTGGGTAGAAATAGAATCAGTACCTAGAGAAGGACTTAGCACACAGATGGGTAACTTCTAACGGCTTTTCCTATTAAGAAATGCTAATGAACTCCAAGAAAATTACAAGGAAATTCCAACAAGAGCATGTATATCAAGTTTATTGCTTTGCCACAGGGATCAATTTTTCCGTTGCACCAAAAAATCTAAGCAAGCACCCATCAAATTGAACTTAAGTTCATAACAGAAAGTAAATTAAGGATTTGTGACTTACCCCACTGAGGAAAGATGCTCTTACAGACTCATCCAATATATATCCAGTAATTGCTGCATTATTCACCTGCACGTTCTAATTTTGCTGGTTATTCCATTTCAGTGGATAGCTGAATATTTTCTGATATTGAAAATACATCGTAGATAGTTCACGAGGTTTTTTAGATGTGAATTCCTCATGAAGATCCTGAACTTTTATTGAAAATCCTGAGTTTAATTGACAACAAAGAAACCAGAAATTCATGAAATGACGCATTCTCTTTATATATAGCACAGGACAGAATTCTTTTTCTATTCCCCATTTCCTTTGGAGCCATAATAATAAGAATGCTAGAGAAAAGGCAAAACATAACACATTCTAATGAAATTATGGATGGCCAGTATTTATGTGCCCATGATCAAACGCGTCGGCTCATAGATCCAACACTATTTGGAATTTGCTTTCCTTTTCCGCTTTCAATTTTCCATTTTTATGCCTCCAAAAATAGGATCGATCATGGATTTTGAAAACATTGTTTTTGTATCATTTTCATTTTCAAGGGAAAATAGTATTTGATATTCCGAGCTGTTTTGTAAGATTAGGCTCGTTTTCTTAAAAATTCGTCTGAAATCAGTTTGTAGAAAGAACCTTCCAAATGAGTTTTCTGTTAAGGAAAGCAGAAAACAGTTTACAGAAACATCACCAAACAGGCCAATTGATGGGGGTGGAACCATACTAGGATGTCAAGCTTTCCCAAATTGGGTATTGATGAAATCAGCGAGGGAAGCAACACTAGAGGGTTCTGCTACATCAAGCTGATGAAAGAGCACATGCTCCGAAAGACCAGAACCTTTGAGCTTCTCAAGGCTGCAACACCCTTCTCCTCATCTCTTGCACTTAGGACAACCGTGACCCCATGGGAAGCCAGCTGCCTGCATATTTCTAATCCCATCCCCCTGTTTGCTCCTGTCACAACTGCGTACCTGAAACCCAAAAGCCAACATACATATATATAAGTTGGAATTTAAAATCATTAGCAAAGCTTTGTCAGTATAGCGTTACATAACCAGCCACTTGTGAATAAAGGACTCTATGATGTAGTGCTATGTGAAGGTAACGCCTACCTCTTTATTGCAAGGAAATTGGATGATTCTGCCATAGCTGATAAGTATTTGCCTCCACAGAGAGAGAGAGAGAGAGAGAGAGAGAGAGAGAGAGAGATTTTCAATATGGGTTTTGAGTATATAGTAAGTCAAATTCAGGTGCACTTCTGTTTAATCAGAGACGGGACCATATTTTCTGACATAGAGATTGAGTTGGTCCCCTGAATCCTGTTGTATCCACAAGATAATCTTTCTAAATTGCACGAGAGAGAGAGGAGAGAGAGACCGATGGAAGTCCTGAGAGGTCATTTTAATATTATGCATTAGAACTAGGGTGACACCTAGTTAATAATTAAATCATCAAACATGTGAATACTTTCCTCTCTTGAGACTAAAAAGATGCATCCTTCCATTCTTCTGCGTGGCCTTTGAGGCTCCGTAAGTAGATGTGGAATCAGAGATCAGAACAAGGACATAAGCAGACGTTTTCTGTTCCCTGAGAGGGAAAAGAACTATAATTACATTATAAATATACACATGTTTAGGGTTTACCCACATTATTATATGATTTTATTGGTTAATTAACCCAAGAAACAATTAATGTAAAAAGGCCCTATGAATCGGCTTGTGCATAGTTGCATGTGGCTTTGCCCAATTCGTGACGTCATACCTGATATGGATTTGAATCTATTGACTTGTCCCAAAACAAAAAAAGGAAAATAATGAGTTTTTTTTAATCTATTTTGCTGTTTCCAAATGTCGTACTCATTCTGGAATTATAAATGGAATTGTTTTTTCTTATTTCAAAAAAAAAAAGTCAAAAACCCACTTTTTCTACTGCCTACAGCTGCTGCATTACCAGTTGTCCCACAACTTTAACCAGTTCGGAAAAGCACTTCAGGTTCATGACATCTTGTGCAAGTTTAACTTCTGTCACTTTAATCATGGGTGCATAGACAGAGAGAAATCCTACAGTTGAGTTTTAACTAGTTGATCTGACCAAGAAGCCAATCCTTTTCTATATGGGGATAACGAAGAGTTGTTTGGTGCCCTAGGCTTTTGGCCCTGTGTGTTTGGCTTTCAAGCCAAGGCTTAAAATGAAAGAGATGATTTTGCAACCTTTTTGGCTTAAGAGCTGAACCGAAACGCGATAATACCACAGAACCTTGACATCAAAGATCTTCAATACCGTACTCTATTTTTCTGCCGATTGTTTTACCTGTACAAACCAAGACATTGCAAGCAGTTTGTTTATGCTTTCCATTTTTCATAATTTCATATAATTATTTTCTTTGGTCCGCTAGTTAGGTTTCCCAGCCACAAACAAGAACACACAAGCAGATGTTATAATCTGCGATTGCATCCCAAAAAAACAATGCTCAGAGTTAAAACATGAGAAAGTCATAAGCTCTGCATAAAATATTCAAATGAAAATCGACAAATTTCAAGCTAACATAGATTCACAACCTTTAGCTATTAAACAAGCAAAAACATAACAAAGGATTTTTAAATAGTTATGTAAAACTTCACATCACATCCATCATCTTCAGGCTTTGATCACTTTGATCTTCATTCAAAAGATGATACTTCTTCGCGAACAAAGAAGAGGCCAGAAGGTCAACCATTAGGAAGAAGAGCTAGTCGTACAGGGCTTGCAGCGCCTTCTTCGACGGGGTAAGATTCCACTGTTCAGGTTCATCTCTGTTTTGACAAAGCCAGGGCAGACACAATTGATTGTACATGGAGGGTTGCTTTTTGGCAACAATTCTTGTGTAGGCATTAGGGCAGCCTTTGATAGTGTATAGGCAGAGAGAAAAGCAGGCCAGCCCTTACTTTCCAATGAACCGTCTTTGAAATCTTTGAGAAACTCATTCAATATGCCATCCACCTTCTCTTCTGTAAGATTCTCTTCATCACTCAGAACTCCTCTAACCCATTCGCTGGGTATATTCTGTTACAAGACACGACAGGACGAACTGACAATTACTGAGAATAAATTCTTTGACAAATTTGTTTGGATTCTTTTGTGTGAACTGTTTTCTGTTAAAAAAATAACAGAACATTTTGAAAACTCATCAGACAGACACTTTTCAAGAAATGGCCTTGGAACAATTGTTAGAAAACAGGCCACATTTAACAAAAAGTTGTATTGAGAGAATTCTCAAAAGCGATTTCTTGATCAAAAATGAAAAAATATGAAGTTTTGTAAGTTCTCGGATTTTCTATTCTCAAAAATACAGAATGAATTGTTCGAAAGATTTGCTTGCTTGTATTTGTTTCAGAAAACTGCTTTCCATTTTCGAAAAGCAGAAAATTTGAAATCCTTTGTACAGACTCTTTCCAGATGTGCTCTTGTGAAAATCTCTAGGAAAACACTCAATTTAACAAAACAGCTGTTTAAGAATTGTGTGAAAACTATTTTGATTGAAATTGGAAACAATAATGTTTACAAAGTTTTCAGTGTTCCTATTCTTGCAAATACAGAACGTAGTACCTGAAAACCAATCTAACAAGAACAATCTTTGGATATACTTTGAAACAACACTTGACAGTTTACATTGACTTTGAATGAATGGTTTGACAAATTCAATTTTCTCACTCAAATGCGCCAAAAATAAATGAAAGACAGGCAAAGAAAAAAGATATAAATTATAAATTGCTGATTAAAAAAAAAGGCTATCATGACATTGAATGGTTTATTTGTATCATCCCAGGTGTATACAAAGCCAAGTTGTTTGGACTTGTTTTTGAAAACAGTTTTTTTTTTTTTTCTTTGAAAATATAAAAAATTTGAACTCTGTCTGGCAGATTTTTTATGAAAACTGTTCTCTGAACAATTCCTGGAAAAATGCTCCATTTTAGAGAACAATGAAAACCCATTTCCGAATTCAGAAACTTTTTTGATTGAAAAATGAATTATGTATGAGAACAACAGATACAAAATTTGCAGTGATTTCTGTTATAAAAATAAAGCAACTGAAAATGGAGGACACAAGACAGAAACACAAAACAAATCCAAGTAGGCTTTATCAATAACCACCACTAAAGGATCTCTAAGGGATAGACGTATTAATTGCTGACATGAAATTGAAGTAGTCAGTTAACTGGAATTACCGTAGCATGGCTACATTTAGATGGAAGTAAATGAGAACTTCATCATTTCAAGCAAAACATACATCAGAAGCAGCGCTGGGTTATTTTCAATACCTTCAACTTTCCTATGGAGGCAGAAACGTTAAACAATCCTTGGTGAATCAGATAATTGGAGTAGGGGAATGAAAGCTTCTATCATTCTTTTAGCTCCATAGTAGTTTGTTTGCAGGCATTCTTCTGCGCCCCCATAAGTCTGTGTCATTATCTCATTCCAATTGACTTGCGCACCTTCTGGCTGCATCAACCACAAAAGAAAAGGATCAGGCACTCCAGCAACATACAGAAGTACAACAGAGAAGTTCACAACTGTGTGTAGTGAATTGCTTTACAACCCTTTTCTCATCACTTCTTTTTGATCTTGTTACATACTAAATTGATAACTAGAGCTAATACGAGACCAAGAAACAGAAGTAGGATAGACTTACTCCTTTTTCGTCAATATTTGCAGCTCTTAAAGCTTCAGCATTCACAATGATTCCACCAATCCCTGCATTGTTCACCTGCAGTGAGCTCTACTTTTCTCACTCTCTATTTCTTTGGAAAAGAATAAATAAATATGCAAAAAAGGGAAAGAAAAAGTAGAAAAACACTACATCTTTCATGAAGTTGGGGTCAGTCCAAGCAGTCAGACCAAAAGTCAGAAGATGACAACAGGGAGTAAACAACTAGTAGTTCCAGCTCCAGTAACTAAAAGGTTGTCCCCAGTCATGAAACTCCTACTTTTGCAAATCATCGATGTTCTGAAACCTTACCAACTTTGCAAAGAGGTTGTTTCTGAGCCTGTGACCTCCTGGTCATATGGGAGCAACCTACGCTTTAAAAACAATTATTTTCATTTCTTCTGTATTTTCAAGCAAATAGTTTTTAAGAAAACTTTTTCTTTTTATTAAAAAAAATGAGGCCTGTGTAAAAATTCTTCTGAAAAAAATTTTCAAAAAAACCTGGCGAACAGGTTTTGGTTTCCAGAAACAGAATTTTGGTTTCACAAACAAAGTCTCAACCAACAACATTTCCAACTACAAGCATGGGCCAGTTCTGGTCCTGAATAGTGAAATACAGGTCCTGCACTATAGCATGGAGATGAACTGAAACATGGACCAAGAAAGAAAAAGGCAATTTATGGTAAATAGTGATACCAAGATATCGAGCTTCCCAATTGGGTCTTGACAAAATCTGCAAGGGAAAGAAGGTTTGAAGGGTCCATCACATCTACTCTGTGGAAGACCACAAGATCAGCAAGACCGGAGTCTTTGAGCTTCTTTAAAGCTTCATTGCCCCTCGTCTCATCTCTAGCAGTCAACACCACTCTGACCCCATGAGAAGCCAATTGCTTGCATATTTCGAACCCAATCCCCTTGTTTGCCCCTGTGACCACTGCATACCTGAAAGAGAAAGATAAGCAAAAAGACAATGTAATAATCTTGCACACATGCAGATTATCTTGGTATAATATTCTTATTCTGGATTTTCTTTCCTAAATTTATATGGTTTTTTGTCCAAACTCTCTTATCATCTCCTCTTCCATGCTCTCTTCTATGAATTCTCTGGTAAAAGGAAGACTGCAAAGGCAGTGTAACGATCTCACATGCATTGAGTGATTAAAGTTAATAGCAAGATTGTTAATATCTTTGTATAAATACAGGGACAAGAGTGATTGAAATGAAGAGAGAGAGAGGAGAGAGAGAGAGAGAGAGGTATAATACTATAATACGGATTTTCTCCCTCTTAAATTCTCTGGGTTTTGTCTGAACTCTCTGTGTCTCATCTTCCCTATTTCACAAAAGAGTTAAAAGAAAGGAAGAATTGGGTACCTCTCCGTTGCAGTGCTGGCGATTGCTTCGGCCATTGTTGAGGAGTTGAAACGGCGGGGACCTGGAGATCGAGAGTCAGAGGATTAATAGAT